CCGGGGGGGTGTGGGGGGGGAGGAGTGAGCAAGCGGCTGTGTGGAACTCAGTTGCCGACTGAGGTTAAACCACAACAAGCATAAAACAGCCTACTTCTAGTTCAAGTATTAAAAGTAAAATGGTAACTTTTCATCATAATTCAAGTTCCAGCAACAGCAAAGATAAGACAGGACTACTTTTGCTCGGGAAGCAATGAAAGGGAGACAACCCAAACAGAGCGTCTCAAAGGCAAGAGGTACAAGACCTGGTTGAACTGTTCTTTGCTGGCTGTCCTAGAAAGGCGAATGTCTGCCTTCTGACGTGTGGTGCACAGTTTGTTATGTGTACGCTTTTCTTTTTGGATCCCAGTCATTTTTCTGACTCTGGAGATTTCCCTTCTCTTTACCTTCAGAGCTGTCAATCAAGATTTGCAAGATATGCAAACGAGCAGCAAACACCAGGTGATTTTTTGCTCCCGCTTTCTACGTGTGTGTGTCACACGAGTGCGTGTGTGCATGTGTGCACGTCTGTGTAATTATGGCTGGAAAGGTAAAGGGGACAAAGAGATCAGGGACAGCAGCTGGACTTTGGTATCTCTGGCAGCGAGTACACATGGAACATTGCTAAAATGTCTGGACAGCCAGTGTCCGCTGGCAGCCTGCCCACACTCAAATTCCTGGAAAGGCTTAAGGCAGAAAAATAATCACTTGGAAGAGTCACCATCTGGGCTTGCTCTGGTCCCAAAGGGATTGCTCACTGGAGATCAGGATGTGTATTTTTCATGCAAAACTCCAGTGTCTCTCTGCAAACCTCACTATGCCTCTCAAAACAGTATTCTTCTATTTATTTCATCTAATAAATTTAAAACTCATGACAGGATACTGGGTTATAGCTTGAGGGGCTGACCTCCTTTATTTACCCAGAGTTCACTGCAGGAAAGGTAAAACGAGCAACACAAGCCTCCGTCCACACTGTAGTCGTACACTGTGTCCCACCACCCGGGACTGAGTCTTGGGGTGCAGAGAAGTTGGGGCCAGACTCACAAACCACCGCAGCACCTGGCTATGCAAATGGTGGGATGTTCACTGCCTTCAGAAATCAGTCACTTTTGCAGTCCCATGATGCAGCTAACATCATTTTTAGGTCTCTAAAACACCTTCAAAGATCTAGTCCCTCATCCTCCCTGGTCCCTGACCTTTCTGCAGCTGTTAACAAACTCATGCTGACATTTGCCACCAGGAGCAAGGGCTGGGACCACCCACTCATTTGCCTTACTGCCACCCAAGGGGGGCAGCCGTCAGCCTCCAACTTCAGGGATATTCAATTCAAACCAGTCATTTATTGTCAAAAGGCTC